ACGCCGGGAATTTGCACAACTTCCACGTGTTGCTGAAATTCTTCCCAATTTGCAACAGAGTTCCCTTCTGACGCTGAAACTCCGCCCAAGAGAAGCCGGAGTTCTCCTTTGTCAACAACAGACATCGGACTTCTACCCGACGTCAAACCTTCACTCTTCGCTAAGTTTCTACCCGACGTCGGACTTCTACCGGTTATCGGACTTCGCTAGACGTCTACGCAAAGATGGATTTCTTTCCATTGCTGGACTTCAACCTGACGCTGTCCTACTGATCTTCGTCATCAGACTACAGTCCTTCCGACATCTGTCGCCAGCCGACTACGATCCTCCTGACTTACGTCGCCCGCCAACTACAGTCTTTCCGACATCCGTCGCCCATTGAATACGGTCGTCCTGACTTATGTCGCCCGCCGACTACAATCTTTTCGACCTCCGTCGTCCGCCGACTACGGTCCTCCTGACTTACGTCACCCGCCGACTACAGTCCTCTGTCGCAAGCTGACTACGGTCCTCTTGAGCTACGTCGCCCGCCGATTACGGTCCTTCCGACCAAACGAACATGTCAATAATGACTCTTTGTATTTACATCATGTAATGTACTCCATAAGATGTACATCAAGCTAAGGCCTTCTCCCAAGGAAGGGCCTCATTTGTAATCGACTGCAAATACTAGTGGATTCGTTCAAACTGGGCTAGGCCCCGTGGTTTTTCCCCCTTTTATAGGGGTTTTCCACGTAAAAATCTTGGTGTCTCATAAATGCTAGACCATCTCTTCTTATCTGATTGCGTGCAGGATTTTCGTACAACGCTAAGACGATAAACTTTATATTTCTCTACCGCCGCGAATACTCTTGGACGCAACAGTGCTGGAAGAAATTGTGAACATTTTTAAAATGATTCTTTCATGAATTATATTAGTTAAGAGTAAGAAAGTTTATGTGATAATGAGTTATTGATGTTATTTTGATTGAAACACGAATGTGATAATTGGTCAAAACAGGTTTGAACTTTGTATGAGTAAGTGGTGGCTTGGTTTGAATAAGTCATTTTTGTTATGACCTTATTTCAATTAGATTCTAACTTTATTTAAATCAAATTTGAACCTTGTTTGAATCGGATTCGATCAATAATTAAATCAAATTAATTTGAACCATATTTTTATCTTTGCCAAAAATTATTTGAATATAGTTATAACATGATTTGAACCTAGCTTTATCATTATTCAAATTCCTTCGACCGTTGCTCGATTCTTCTTTGAACCTTGTTCTAGCTCATTTTGATATACTTTCCAACAATGTTCAAAGCAAGTCTGACCTTGGATCAAAGTTGATTTGAATATTGTTCTAACAAGATATTGATTTTTTCGTACTTATTTTTAAAATATTTTTCTTACATTGCACATAAATTATACATTAATTTTCTTTAGTTGTATGATGGAGAATTGAAAGAGTGTAACCTATTAGTTGGACATTTATTAAAAATGAAGCAAATTATTGAGGGTTCCAAAAAAATATTATGGTGGAAGATATCATAGATCTTGTGATGTCTTAGAATCTAGGGGAATAATTCAAATCCTAAGCCTATAATTACACACTCAACCACCAGAAGATATTACCAATATCTAAAAATCCAAATACTAAAGCAATATGAACATGCTTAATTTTATCAAAAAATAATTACACCAGTCCAATAAACTTTCAATTGTATATACATCATAATAAATAAAATCTGTATTACAAAAATTAATAACTTGATCACTCAAACTTAGAATTGTTGGATTTTTATATCATAATATAAAATGCGGAAATAAAAATCAGGATTTTAAAAAAATTAAATTAAGTCATTCTCAATATTAATTTTCTTAATAAATAACTTTATAATATGAAATGAAGAAAACTTTACCGAATAATTGATTGACATTTGAGATCTTCTTCGTTGAAACGTTGATTGAGCCCGTAAGCCTTCTTCTTCTAATCACCCCACCAAATATATTTTAGTGAGTGGGCACAATCAATCAATTATGGATGAACACTTTTTCTTTTGAATCTAATTTATATT